CTCATCTCCCCCCTCCCCCCCCCAGCTATTTGGGGTGCCGCCTTCCACTGGATCGTTTTGCGTCCTGTCCTGTGCCCTACAGACCACACTGGTCCAGTGAGCCACGTCTTGTTCTCTCTCCTCTCCTCCCCTCCCCCCCCAGAGTGGCGTCCAGTTCATTGCGGCCCCTTCCGGTTCGGCCGCTGACCAAGTGGTGATTGAAGCCTGCGATGAGCTGGGGATCACACTGGCCCACACCAGCCTCCGTCTCTTCCACCACTGAGGCGCTCCGGAGACACGCGGAAGGGCTTCCTCTTGGCTGACTGGCCTGCAAAGGCCCTCTTCCCGTTCAATCCAGCCCCCTGCCCATGCTTCTGTGGGTGTGAAGGCAAAGCCATGGGTCCTCCCACAAAGGCTACCTTGAAATGAAAAATAAATACACAAAGTGGTCCGGTCAGAATCACTTTCTGAGGGTGTGTTCTTGCTGCTTTTACTGGCTTTTTGCTGCCTAGAGTCTCCTGGTGTTTTTTTTTTTAAACGGGTCTTTTCCCCTTGCCTTGAACTCTGGCTGTGCATGCCGAGGCAAGCGTGGCTTTCCGGGCACAGCCCCGCCGTCCTTGGCTCCAGCTTCTCTTGGCCAGTTCCTGCCGCCACCGCCACTGCCCCGGGGCTCCTTGACCAGAACCGAGACACCGCCGGGCCGGGCCAGGCCAGGCCAGGATCGCTGGACGGCTGGGAGGTTCCCTCGCCTTCAAGTGGGGAGGGCCGCCCCCGTTTCTCAGCAGGGGGGGAAAATCCAGTGATAAAAAAGTTTGCTTCTAGCCACAGACCAAAAAAGGGGGATTTGTGGTTGGACGGTTCAGAATGCGGAAGATAAAATCAGTTCCTGGCTAGCAAAACCCTAGCAGGGTGCCCAGCTGCTCATCGGAATGGGTCAGGCAGTCCCTTCTGGAGGCTCTGAGCACCTTTGAAATGTTGCTGCATGGAGTGGGCGGAACCACAAAATGGCTGCTGTAGGAGGCGGAGCCACACGCGCAGAGAAGAAGCCTGAGTGCGGGGAGAGAAGGGGGGTGTAATTGAAAGGCACACTCGAAAGCACAGACACCGTGGTGGCAGCTGCCTCTGGAACAAGGCTGTTCTAATCGGCACAGCCAGACAGGTCTCCAGTGGCCAATCAGAAGCCCTGCTGGGCAACACCCCCACCTGGCCTTTCCTGCTTTTTGGAAGCACTTGGTGGGTGCCAGGAAGTGTCAGCGGGGACCATTGTGCCCGTGGGCACCACGTTGGGGACCCCTGTTGTGGACGGCTGTCTATTCAAAAGCTGGCAGAAAGCAGGTTTTATGAGGAAAGTACACTTTGCCCCATCCTTGCCCCGGAGAAGGGGGAGGAACCTCAGACCTTTTAGAAGTGGGGTGCTTATCCACCACGTGCTCCCAGCCAAAAAGGCTCTGACCAGTAAACTGATACGTAGTAAAAAGCCAGCAATCCTGGCGGGCAAGGGATTCATGTTGGCATTAGATTAACCCAAGCAGCATAATGGCTCGATTTTGAGAATATCTTTCTCCGAATTAAAAAAATCAAAATTCTCCAGGCCCATCTTTCGCCTGAAGGGAAGCTGGCCAGAGTTGGGGCTTTTGGATGGCTCTTGGTGAACGGAGCCCTGAGCCCTTTCTGGGGGGATGTGGAGCCAGTTTGCCTTCTGTTGGCCAACACAAATCTACCGTTTGCTGCTCTGAAGCCTCAAGGTCAGCAGCTGAATCCGAATATTAAGAACCAACCTCCAAGTCAAATACTGCTTGTGATGCTCTGTCTTCTTGGTGCTGGGGGGAGCCACAGTGGGAGGGCTTCCAGCGTTCAGACCCCACTGGTGGACCTCCTGGTGGCCCCTGGGTTTTGGCCGCTGTGTGACACAGAGTGTTGGACTGGAGGGGCCACAGGCCTGATCCAACATGGCTTCTCTTCTGTGATCATGTAACTGTCGCGGCCCTCGGAAATCCTCTAGCTCCATGTCAGGGTAGATACAGGTGGAACAGAAGAACTTCCCGTCTGAGGTAAGGAAGGCTCCTCCCAATGGAGTTAGAGGCAGGAGAGCTTCCTGCCTTCTCTGCTTGGGTGAGTTCTCTCCCACTTCAAGAATTAACACAGCTGCGGAATAAAAACTTCTAGAAACAAAGTTCCTCTAACGCTTAGACCTGTCGGGGCTGACAGAATCATAACAGTTGGAAGCAACGGCCCCCTCTCAGCTGTGGAGTCCTGTGAGCAAAAATTCTACTTTGAGCAACTGGCATTAAAGCTGTGAGTGAGCGATTTGGCTCCTGCATAATGGAGCCATCCTTCCTGAGCTAAGACAAAAATGGGTGAACTGGAGGCTACAAAACAGCTAGCTCACACTGACTCAGCTTAGAGGGAACACTGGTTGGAAGGGGCCGTATCGGCCACCTAGTCAAACCCACAGCTTGATGCAGGATCAGCCTAGAGCATCCCTGACATTTACATGCATCTTATTTACCTTAAGGCAGGGTGTCAGACATGTGGCCCAGGGGCCACATCAGGCCCCCCAGAGGGCTTCTGTCAGACCTGCAAGGGACTGGCTGCCTCCTGCTTCTTCCTCCAGTTCTGCTGCTGCTGCCGCCTCGTAGCTTGCTTTCCCAGACTCTTCTCAGTCGCTCAGGAGAGACAGATAGGCAAACGTCTGCTCCCCGCCCTGGGCTGAGGCTCCTTCCCCATTGCAACAGCACAGACATTTTGATGCAATAATTCAGAGCAAGGAAGTGTCAGTTATCAGAGATTGTTAAATGAACAAAATATTGCAAGAGTGCTCATGTTTCAGGCATGTTTTTATTTTAAGTAAAAAAAAAACACCTTTGTGTTTGCATCCCTTATAAAGTTTATCTCTCCACTACCTGGCATTACCTTTTATGACACACGCATGGCCCGGCCCGACAAAGTCCCATTTATGTCAAATCCAGCCCTCCATAACAAATGAGTTCGACACCCCTGCCTCAAGGACTGCACTGGGGTGGGGTGGGGGGAAGCCTGAGGAGGAAAGGCCCCGTGGCAGGCAGCAGCTAGGAAGGTTCTCTCTCCTGGCTGCCACCACTCTGGTGCGGGTCTCCTCGGGAGGGCCCAGAGCACCCACCCGGCCCCTCTGTACAGGACTCTCCCAGTATGGCTTCCCCTTTATGCGTGACCGAATGAGGCCTGAGGACCCAGGCAGAGTAGCAGACTGGTTTTATTCAAGAGGCTTCATCACAACTGTCGTTCAAAAACATGTAGGAGAAATGAGCACAGTAAAGGCAGGTGAATCAGCGAAATAAGAAGCCCGAACACCTCTGACTCTACTGTCCAAACCTCAACTGGAGGTCTTTGGCTTCCAGCTGACTCACCCCTTTTGGAGGAGGGAATCCCTCTGTTTGCAGCAGGACCCCCGCCCGGCTCTGGCCCCCCCCGGGAGAGTGAACCCCCCCTCCCCGTTTGGGGCGGGGCCTTTCATCTCTTCTTCCCAGCCACCACCCTTGACTGGCGCAACCGTTCCCTCCAAACCCTCTGTTGGCCAATCACGGGGGCCAGAGGGGACCTGGGAAATGTAGGCCCAGGGAGCTAGTCCAGTACAGGTTTCCCTGGGCCCAGTTCCCAGGCAGGTGTGGGGCGGCCTGTGTGTGAGGGTCTGCTCACTGCTGAGATGGGCAGGAGGCGTTGCTCCAGCGTGGTAAGGAGGAGGGCCTCCTCCCTTCAGCTGTCTGGCGGCCCCTCTGCTGAGGTGCCCCTTGGCTGTCACAAGGGGGCCCTGACTTCTTGGAAGGCGGCCTGTTCACACTTCTCTGTGGGCTCTCAAGAGCTGGGGTCTGGAGCCGGCAGTCCCTGAGCCTAGTCCAGTGGGCACCCTAGTGTAGAAGACTGCCCTCCGCAGCCACCTGCACGCATGCCTCCGCAGGGACAGAGTAAAGCGCTACTACTGGCAATGCATCCGCAAAGGTGCTGTTTGGCCTGGGGAGGGGATGCGAGTCGTGCGTCTCAATGGTGGTGCAGAAGCGTTCTTGCCCATGACCTTATTCATGCCAGCGGCCATCAGCTCTGCTGACCAGAAGCCCACCTGGGTGCTGCTCTTGCTGAAGTTCTTAAGGCGAGGCAAAGCCTTTTGAGTTTTCCACAGTGTGAACTCACTGTCCGTTAGAACAAAGTCTGAGTCCAGCCAGGCACCTCGAAGACCAACAAAGTTTAATTCTGGGCATGAGCTTTCACGTGCAGGCACACGAAGATCAGAAGAATCAGAGAATGACAGAGTTCGAAGAGACCTCCAGGGTCATCTAGTCCAACCCCCCTGCACAATGCAGGGAATTCACAAAAACCTCCCCCTCCACACACCCAGTGACCAGAAGATGACCAAAAAAACAAAACAAAAAACCCTCCACGATCTTCAGCCAAACCGGCCTGGAGAAAAATTGCTTCCAGACCCCCAAAGTGGTGATCGGCATTTCCCTGGGTATGTAAGAAAGGGCCACAAGGACTAAGCACTGAGGCAGGCAACCCTTCCTGCACCCTCCCTCTCATGCACACAAAAGCTTCTACCCAGAATTAAACTTTGTTGGTCTTCAAGGTGCCCCCCAGGACTCAAACGTCATTCTATTGCTTCAGACCTACGCAGTGAGCGACTTGAATCTTGCTGTCCGTTAGTAAGGTCCCCATATTTTGGCACACTTGCTCCAAAGCAAGGGGGAGTATTCGCCTGAACCAAGAGCCATCCCCACAGGAAGGGAAGTCACTTTGTTTTAGCAAACCCAGAAGCAGATGTGTGGGATCATTGGGGGCTCTGCTTTCCCATTGGCTCCCCCCCCTTCCTTGAATGAATGAGTCGCCCCATCATTCACTGCTGCCCCTTTGGGAGACTCCTGCTCCCGCCCCTTTGGGCATCAAAGCTGTCCTCTCTCGAAGCCAGTCCTGGGCCTCCAAGGCTGACTGGGGAGGAGACTTGCCTGTGCCCCCCCTCCCCTGCCCGCTGCCGTCCTGCATGCAGAGCTCTTGGGGGCGAGAGCCGTTTAGGGCAGGGGTGTCAAACTCATTTGTCACGAGGGCCGGATCCGACATAAATGTCGCTTTGTCAGGCCGGGCCACGTGTGCCATAAAATGCAATGCCGGGTACCGGAGACAAAAAGGACTGCAGCTGGTAAGCTCCAAGTTGGTGTATTCTCGCTGCAAGGCCTCATGGGCTGGGAGGGGGGTGCGAAGGAAAACCCACATGGGTGGACTGGAGAGCCAGCGGTGCAGCACTGGGCAGACGCTCCCATGCTGCTTGACTGCTGCAGACGAGGTGGTTCTGCTGTGCCGAAGCCACAATCAGAGTGGCTCCGCCCACTCCTCGAGCAGCCTCCCCTTCCTGGCACTAGCTGCTCACGGGGCCGCATAAGAGGCCTGGGCGGGCCAGTTCCGGCCCCAGGGCCTTACGATTGACACCCCTGATTCAGGGGCCTTGTAATGCAGGAGAGAGACCCTACAAGTGCTTGGACTGCAGGAAATGCCTTACTTCAGAAGTGGGTCTTGAGAGGCATCAGAGCCCCCACACAGAAGCCACATAAATGCTTGGAGTGTTGGTCAGTGTTTTGCTTCCACATCAGACATCACAGAATACGCAACGGGAGAGTGTTCGTCAAGCACCAGCAAGTCCACACAGGGAAGAAACCCTATCAGTGCCTGGAATGTGGGGAATGTTTTGCTGGCCTCTCGACATTTGCAAAGCGCCAGAATTCTATCATGCTCACTGCAAGACAGCCAGAGAAAAAATCATGACCCAGGAGAAAGGGGAGAGATGGAGGAAGCTGGGAAGAAAGCTAGGAATATGACACGGAGGAGAAACACCGAAGCCCACGGAAGCTCTGCAAACACCCCCCCCTCCTGCCCCTCCACTGCTCTGTATCCCAGAGCCAGAGCAGATGTTGGATCCCCAAGCATCGAGAATAAATCCACGTTTTAAAGAAAAGCAAAATTTATTTCAAAGCGTTGAAGACATACTCAAACACGTTCTTTGTTAGAACTGGGGATACACAGTTAGGTCAAGCATAATAAAGGAACTTCAAACAGATACAGATCCAATGAATATCTTTCCCGCTGGCGGGCTAAGGAAACGGTTGCGCGCCCAGTACATGAGAACCAGGCAGAACATCAGACAAAACACAGGTGCAGTAGTCCTGGGAAAATCAATAGGCAAGCATTACAGCATCTTCTCCCCCACACAACCTCCAGCAGTTATCTTTTGCATTCCAAAGCAGGAACAGGATGATAGAAGCCAAGCCGGGTGTAACAGGGAAAGGATATGTACACAGAGGTCACAGAAAACAGAATGGCAGCTTGCTGACAGCAGAACTTGCCAGGCCAGGAAGTGGCCCCGCCTCTATGGGAGCAATGCCCCCCCCGTCAGGCCGCTGCCCTCCAAGTGGGGATGGGGAGCCGTGGCTAGGCAAAAAATCTTTTGACATACGAGGCAGCATATAAGAAGAAGAGGAGACTGGACTTCTACCCCGCCCTTCACTTGCAGTCTCAGAGTGGCTTACGAACTCCCTTCCCTTCCCCCTCCCCACAACAGACACCCTGGGAGGCGGGTTGGGCTGAGAGAGCTCTGACAGAAACTTGCTCTTTTCCAAGGACAGCTCTGACCAGCGGCTGCCAGTGGAGGAGTGGGGGAATCAAACCAGGTTCTCCCAGATTAGAGTCCGCGCACTTCACCACTGCACCAAACTGGCCTGGGTGTGGCTGGCCTGGGAGACCCGGGTTCAGATCCCCCACCACCACCTTGAAACTCCTCCAGTGACCACGGACCAGTTGCATCCCCTCAGCCTAGCCTACCTCACAGGCTTCTTGTGAGGAGGGTGGGACTGGGACAAGCCACACACACAGCCACGCGCTTCTTGGAGAAAGGCCACTGGAGATCGGTACCAGTTGTGTCTTCAAGCCAGTTGGCCCCCTTGGAGAGATCCTCACTCCCTTCCCAGCGTGCTCCTTCTGGCCTGTTTGCAGTTATCTTGGCTGGGGGGGGTGAAGGGGGGCCCTGCTTAACACTCCAGTGGGTTAAACACACAGAGAGGCCTGTTTTGTGGCAGTATTGCCTTCACCTGTCTCAAAAGCTCCTGGGCCATGCAGGGCTCTCTCCAACTCCGTCTGTCCTTCACGACCACCCTCTGTGGTAGGCAGGAGGCACTCAGAAAAAGTGTGACTCAAGGTTATGCAGGGAGCGCACAGCTGACTAGGAAGAACTAGGAAGAACAACACTTCTGCTGAGCACCAGGGAGGGGCCTTTGTTGCACCACCAAGCTGTTTGGGCACGTCTGAATTGGGCCTTAGCCACAAAATTACTCCCCCTCCCACACACACACATTTCTCTCTTGTGGCCGAGCCCCAAACAGAGAGAAAAATATGAGCTCCCCCCCCACACACACAAACATAGTACTAGATGAAGGGCATAATGAACAACAAAGACGGGGAAGACTTGAACGGTCCTGAAACTGTCCTGCTGTGTGCAGTTCTGGTCACCACACCTCAAAAAGGATATTGTCGCTTTGGAAAAAGTGCAGAAAAGGGCAACTCGAATGATAAAAGGGTTGGAGCATTTTCCCTATGAAGAAAGGTTAAGGCGCTTGGGGCTCTTCAGCTTGGAGAAATGATGGCTGAGGGGTGACATGATTAAGGTTTATAAGATTATGTATGGAACAGAGCAGGTCGAAAAAGAGGTACTTTTCTCCCTTTCTCACCATACAAGAACTCCTTGTGGGCACTCCATGAAATTGCTGAGCGGTCGGGTTAGAATGGATAAAAGGAAGTCCTTCTGCACCCCAAAAGAGTCATGAACACATGGAATTCATTGGCGCAGGAGGTGGTGGCGGCTACAAGCCTGGACGGCTTCAAGAGGGAATTGGATAAACATCTGGAGCAGAGGTCCATCAGTGGCTATGAGCCACAAGGTATAGATAGGGGCTCTGGGGCAAGGGATGCTCTGTCTTCTTGGTGCTTGGGGGGGGGCAACAGTGGGAGGGCTTCTAGTGTCCTGGCCCCACTGGTGGACCTCCTGATGGCACCTGGTATTTCTGGCCACCATGTGACAGAGTGTTGGACTGGAGGGGCCTTTGGCCTGATCCAGCATCTGCTTCTCTCTTGTGTTCTTCAACCGAATCCCAGGACTCTGCTATGCTGTTCTCTGACACGCAGGAGCTTCTCCTTTTGCACCCTCTTGTGCTGACCACCGTCCCCTTCAGCAAGGGAGCACTTTGGCACTCCCCCCCCCCGGTGTGCTGTAGGAGAGATGAGCGTTTGGCTTCCAGGCTCCGAAAGAAGCACGCAGCTGGTTTTGTAGATCTTTTTATTAAAAGAGAGTGGTCTCCCACAGTAGTAAAGCTTTGGCACGTAACAGTATAAAAATAATTACTGATCATAATTACACCAACTTCCTCTGTCAACTGTGTTCTACGTGTCTCCAATATATCTTCCCACAGAAACACACTTGGGGTGGGGGGAGGGGAAGACCCATTTGATAAATAACAGCCACCAACGCTGACGTGGCGCTAAGGGACGGAAGAGGGGGCGGCTGCTGGGGCCTGCTTCCGGCGGCGTCACAGTGACGGGGCATGAGAGGTGCAGGGGGCGGGGGAGAGGGAAGCAAGGACTCTGGCCTTTCCTTCATTTCCTTCTAGGGCAGGGCGGCTCCCCCCACACACACCTCTGTCCCGGACGGATCCCGTGTAGTTCTCCTGGGGGGGGGGGCGGGGAAGAGCAGAAATACTGACTGGGACTGGAGACACTGAGCAGAAAGAGAAGCCGGCCGTATCCGTGGGGGAGGAAGTCCCGGCGTGCCCGGCCCGGAGGAAGAAGCCGTGCGCTGAGCCAAGCGAGGGCGGGGCCTCCGCCCACCAGCAGACAGACCTGCTTTTGCCTAGTCAGATTCTACAGCAGGTGGTCCGGGCAAGCCGCTCTGCCTGGGATTCGTGACATTCGGTGGCGGGTTAATCTCCACGTCGGCTCTGCGCGTCTGATTGTAGATGGAGAGGGTAGAAGCACTCGATCGGGCAGTGGACGTTCTGCTGGGAGAGACGGGCAGGCTTTAGTTAGTGCTCACGGGCGGCCAAAGAGGTCTATAACAGTTGCCTGTATGATAGGACCCAGAAAGAGCCTTCTGTCTCCCAGGCATGGCAACACTTACAGTCGTCGTGGTCTGATGCTGTCTCTGTGAGTACTGGGAATAGGTGTGGCCAGGAGAGCCTTCAGGAGAACTCGCAGCCCCGGGTCTGCGACAGTTGTCACACCGCCAGCCCTGCGGAAGCAAACACCCCACAAGTCACAACGAAGCATCCAAAAAGCAGACGCTGCTGCTGCTGCACACAACGGGTGCGGCACACTCCTCCCCACGGCACTGCAAGGCACATTTCAACAGGATGCCCAGGAATGAGTCTCCCCTGAGCCGAAGGAGGCAGAACGTGCCGCTTGGAAGCGGAGGCTGATCCACGGGCACCCAGGCCTGTCTGTGCTCACGTCTCCTTCTGGCCCTTCGTTGTGCTCCTCCATTCGGGGGCCCGTTCAGATTTTCGCTTGGTCAGTTTCCCACCCAACCGAGTAGAATTTAGGATGCCCAACTGATTCACCCCAGACCTGGGTGGCCCAGGCGAGGTCTCGGAAGCGAAGCCACGTTGGCCCCGGTTCGGGCTTGGCTGGAAAGACGCCCCCGCCCCCCCGCCCCCAGGAAGCCCAAGGCAGGCGGTCTCCTCTAAGGTGCTCCTGGGCTTGGGGCCAACATAAAGGCAGACAGTGGCAAGCCGCCTCTGGACACCTCCTGCCGTGAGAACTCTTATGATGGGGTTGCCAGACGTTGGGCTGTGGTTTAACGGCAGGAAGAAAAAACGGGTGCTCAGAAGGGCAACCGTGATATGGCAGAGGTGCTGAAACCACTGCAGGGGTAAAAGGGCATCATGAGTGCTTTTGCTGTGCTGAAACTGACCCGGACAAGAGACGAGAGGATCCCTTGGCGTGTCCAGCCGCTTGGGCAGCTGCAGTGGTACCAAACGGCCTCTCAGAAGGAGAAGAGGAGACTGGATCTATTCCCCTGGCCCTTCACTACCCAAGGGAGTCTCATCAGAGCGGCTGACAAGCTCCTCTCCCTTCCCCTCCCCTCCCCACCACAGACAGGCACCCTCCGGTGAGGCAGGCGGGGCTGAGGGAGCGCTTGACAGAGACTGCCCTTGAGAGAACAGCTCTGACAGGACTGTGTCTTGCCCAAGGTCACACCCGTATCCGCATGTGGTGGAGGAGGAGTGGGGAATCGAGCCCGGTTCTCCCAGGTCAGAGTCCGGGCCCCGAATGGCGACACTACGCCAACGGGCTTCTGTTCCCGCAGGCAGGGCCAGCGCCGGGCGGACCTGGGAGAGAGCCCGGCAGGGCCCCCAGCGGCCTTCTCCGAATGCGGTGGGGATTCTTGTCGGCCGCCGTGGAGACAAAGATTCCAAAAACGTGACCGACTCGCTGCCTGTGGCCGAATCTTCCTCCCCCCCCCTCCGCCCGCCTTCCCCTCGCAGGCGACTGCGCTTCCCGGCCTACCTGCTGCCCTCCGTAGCAAGTGCAGGAGCAGATGGCCCCCAAGTACTCCTTCTGCCACTGCTCGCCCACCTGGTACATCTTGCCGTCATCGTAGCAAGTGGCCTCATCTGCAAGGAAGCCAATCGGGAATGAACAGCTGCCATCCCCCTTTCGTCTGTCTCATGGCAGATGGGGGACATGGCGCCTCTTACCGGATGCATCTTTTGAAACGTGTCAAGCAAGTGTCTCCGGGACGTTTTTTAAAAAGGAAGAATGTCACCCGGGCAGCAGGGGTTGGCTAAGGTGTCCCACCCCCACCCCACCCCACCAGCAAGCCCAGAAGAAACCGGGCCAGAGCGGCTCACTCCTGGAGAGCCAGGGGCGCTGAAGGGGCCCTGGGAGGCCGCGACGCCCTCCTGCCATGGAAGCTCATTGGGTGGCCTTGGGCCAATCACACACACACACACACACACTTTGGGTCCCCCCTCCCCCCCATGGGGAGTAAGGCGGGCTATAAAGGAAGTGAAGAAAACATCCGTGATTCCCCAGTGCCACGCCACGGCAACGCTGTCCCGAGAGAGAGGGCAGCACCGAAGCTGGGCAGAGCCGCAGGCGGACAGCCAACAGACCAGTGGCCTTTAGACCGGAGCCTCAGACATCTCTGGGCTCACAAGCCCCGCCCCCACCCTTCACACGCCGCTCAGAAATTACTCCCCGGCACAGGCTGTGATGCAGAGAAAAAGGACAAACCAGGGTCTGTTCTCTTGAACTCCAGGGCAGCATGGAAGGACAGGGGTGAGTGGTTTCTGAGTTGCATGGGGGGGGAGAGGAGGAGGAGGAGGAAGGCTTTCCAAAGCACATTCCTGTAATAACCAGCCCCACCTTGTCTTTATGTGTGAATGCCGCCATTTTGTGGCCTGCCTTCTGGTTGACAAGGAAGGAGCAAGACTGGCTCATTAGCCCAGGGGGGGGATGGGTAAAATCAGTCTTGAAAGGATAAAAAAACCCCACTGCACTGGGAAGAAATGTCATCCTTGAAGGACACTGGGGGGGGTCTTCCCCCCTCCCGTGCTCAAAGCAATCACTGACTGCCCCTTACTTGTCGAAGGAAGAAAGAGGAGACGGCGGAGAAGGCAGCAAGGGGGTGCTGGCGGGGGACGGTACTTACGTGGCTCACACTTGAACTCCCCTTTCCCGTTCCCCAGGCAGGTGCAGCTCATCATCTGCCCGCTCTCCCCCTGCCGGTCCCATTTCTCCCCAATCTTGTAGTTGACGCCGTTGTCATGACACCACTCTGAAAGAAAGCCAAGACGTGAAGCCGAATCCACTCCTGAGCGATTCTGAACGCCCGTGTCGACTCTGAGATGGCCACGCAAAGGCCGTCTCTGGGAAGCAGCAGCCCGGCAGACCCGAGAGAGGCTTTGCTGACACAGCCCGTCTTCAGACACGGTGGCTTGGGCCTCAGCGCTCGCCTGCCTGCCCAGGCGGCAACAAGGGACCCCAGGGTGTTCCAGCCACACCTGCTGGCTAAGGATCCCCAGAGAATGTGTATGCTCTCCATCCCCTCCAATAATTCTGCCACCGTTTACAAGTCACTCATTCCAGGCTGAGCCAGGGGAACCGGATCGGGGGCAGGGGGGTGACAGCGGACTCCCCAGCCCTCCCCACTTTGGATTCCCCACCGGAAAATGTGAACAACCCCGAAGGCAACGGGAAGCCCAAGGAGCACTGATGATTTCCCCAGGCGCCAGCGGCAATCGTGGCTCCTTCCCTAAACAGCGGTTGGCACATCCACTGTGGTCCAGGCACGGCATTGAGCCAAATCGTACCCAATTGTCTTCATGTCACACAGCTTTATTTGGGACGGAGTTGGCCAACGAGAAGCACTTAAAACATTCCTAGTCGTCTTCTACTCGCCTCGCAAACATGGGGCTACAAGTGCAACGCCTAAAACAGCACACTCACTCTGGGACAAATGCAAAGCCAAAGGGCAAATAAAACGTAGCCACCGACTGGAATGAACAGGGGGGCCGAAGGGGGTCTCTCTCTCTCTCTGACTGATGCCCGGCCCGCAGAGAATGCCCCCGCTGCCACCTCAGCCCTCCTGGAGAGCCGCCCACCCGCCCGCCCGAGGAGAGCCCCGCCTACTCACTGGACGAGTCGCACCGGAAGTGCCCGCTGCCCAGGCCCAAGCACTGGCACCAGAGCTTGAACCCCGACTCAGACAGCCTCTCCCACTCCTCCCCGATGGAGTAGAAGGAGCCCGTGTACGTGTCGTAGCAGGTGTCCTCGGAGGGCTGGTTCAGTCGGTCAGTAACTGGAAAGCAGAGAGAGAATGGAAAGGCGTGGGACAGCAGGACGGTGGGTTTCTCCTCTCCGATGAGCTCCCGGCCCTAACGAAGCGCCATGACGCTCATAAAAGTGATCCGCCTACTGCTCCCTTAGGCCCACGCTCAGTTAGGCCCCTCCCCTCCGACAGAAACCGCCTCCCCCCCAAAAAGGGCTCACCCCCAAAGCCCAGAGCCCGGACTCAGGCCGTGGTCCGAGGCGAGGAAAGGACCCGGCTCCTGCCCCCTGCAGGGAGTCCTCATTGGCGCCCTGAGGGGGACGAGGGCAACACCCTCTGCTGCGCTCAGCAGGCCAGCTGGAGGCCCTGGTGGGGTCTGCACAGAGGGAGGGGGCCCAAGGACCTCCCAAGCAAGCCGCCAGGGAGGAAGGGGCCCCATGGGACGTCTGCACCATCAGGCATCGAGCGGCTAGAGCCTGACTCCAGAGGGGGCTGGCGGGCTGGCCCTTCCTCCTCCTCGGCAGGGCAGGACCCCGCGCCTTCCGCAGGGAGGACTGACGTGCTCGGCGATGCTTCGGTGATGGCAGCACAGAACAGTTCTATACAGGGGGCGCTGCAGCCGCTCACATTTCCTTAACCCCTGGAACCCACGGCCACAGGAGCGGGCGGCGGCGGTGGCCGCAAGCACAGGTGGCTTCAAGAGGGGGCTGGATAAGCACCTGGAGCATAGAGGTCCATCAGTGGCTGTCAGCCACAAGGGATAGGTAGGAACTCACAGTCTGGGGGCAAGGGATGCTCTGTCTTCTGGGTGCTTGGGGGGGGGGGGCAAC